ATTCATAAACTTCTACAAATCCTAAATTATTTGTATTTAGCAAATAAAAAATATCTAAAAGGTATTTAGCCTATCTGATGTTGCTTTTAGTTACCAGTAAAATGCAATACTCTCAGTTAGTTTAACATAGTTTAACGTGTTCAAATTGCAGTCAATGCAAAATAAATCTGCAGAGTTAATCATAGCCTTCAGAATCAGCTAATGACCCACAGCACCGTATAAACAAGAGTACAAGCAAATACCCAGCTAGCAAAAAAAAAAAAAAAAAAAAAAGTTCTGAGAATGTTGTTATCGTTCCCATTAAATTATAAAAATGTTAATTCTAAAAAATTTTCTTGATTATTGCAACCGTTGGATAAAGTATTATGGGACCATTGAGTTTTATCATTTAGCAAACGTTATAGAAATGTTACTTTTCTCTGAAAATTCTGAAATAATTAGTAAGTAGTAGCATTTAAAATATGTTAGACAAACGTCCAACTAAAACATACAAAAACACTCTACGAATGATGCATAAATAACATCTTGAGAACATTATTAAAGACCAGATAACTTTAAACAACGTTCTATTAATGTTAATGGAAGAATGTTTGCAAATAACTTTAAGAGAGCCTTGACAAAATGTTAGCTAAAGTTCTGAGAACATTCCCTCTTAGCTGGGTATACCTTACATCAACAGACTTTGAGTAAAATTGCTATGAAAAAAATCCAGTTGCAAAGTAAACTTAAATGTAAACGTAACCCAACAGCAATGCAAATTGATGTGTTTTCATTTGCTGTATCAGGTTCACTTCAATTTACATTTATGCATTTGACATACATGTTTATCAGTTCATGCATTCCCAGGGTATTGAAGCCATAATCTTAACTTCTTGTCACTAGTGCCATGCTCTTGAGAAGAAGAAAAAAAGGCAGCTTAAATCAGCCTGCTCAGGCAAATGTGGTTTTCTGGTTTTAGTGGTGCACTCATCAGATGTTCAGGCTGGGAGACCAGCTAGAGCAGCTATAAACCAGCTTAGGCTGGTTGCAGCTGTTTTCCTGGAGTGTAGTGTCTTAGTGTACTCTTGGAAAAGGCAGGATTAGCTTCTTTGTGTGAGGTGGATGATGAAGGTTTTTTGTTCTGATGGGAGTGTGTGGGAGACTCTTGGAAATGGCATCAACAGGTACTTTTAGAAACTTGCAAGAACAACTCCCGACATGTTGCCGCTGGCATTTATGTGGGATTTTTATGCGTTGATCATGCTGTGGGTGTTTATGAATGTTCTGGAGGCACGCATGTGTCTCAATGCAACCATTAAGAAGGAACTGGCAATCAGTCAATAACAAATTGCATGAGCTGTAAAACCGGTAACACTTTAAGAAAAAGTTACATGAATAATCATGTACTAATACCTGAATTAAGACGTGAGCTTATGGTGAACCAGTCAAAAGCTATCCTTAACTCATGTCAACTCATAAGTCTTAAAGTAATGTTCCACAAATGTTATTTGTAGGTTTTAATTCTTAATTTTTTAATTTAACTGTGTTTAAGTCGCAGTAGGTTGAGTTTGACAGGAAAGAAAACAGATTATTACCTTTTAAGATAATTTATTCATGTATTTAGTATTTTCTTCATACGGAAGATCAGTGAAAACAATGACAAACTAATCCTGTGCCATCCAGTAATGTTTATGATGAAGCTCCAGATGTCAGTAGTTTAAATTATGACAATAATACATTGTTTTAATTTATTTTAAAGTCAAAATATGTATCGTTCCTTCTTATAGAAACTGTCTGGCATAGTTAACCCCTAAATGTTAATTAATGCATTAACTATCAAACATGTAGTTAAGGCTGCGTTATTCATGCTTGAATCCATATGACTCCAGTCGTAGTTAAAGATAGCTCTTTACTGGTTAGCTCATGTCTTCACTTCTCATAAATTTCATGTAGTGACTTGAAATGATAGTAGGCTTCCACTAGGTGGCACGTGTGGTGCATAAAACTAGTGCAGGAGCTGTAACGGATTGGAGCTGAGTGAAAACCCACGGTACATAGTACATGGTAGTGCCTTTCTACTTATAATAACTCAGTGATTGGATATGAATTTGGTGTCTGACTAAGTGTCCAGATCATGTTTTATAAATAGGCCATAATTCCTAGTTAAGCCACTATGGCTAATTTCAGATGGCCTTTATCAAAAAAGCCTTTATTGCCCAGAATTCAAAATTAAACATTTATTGTGGAAAAAAAAAAAAGTTTCACTTACTAGTTTTGAAAGATATTATTATCTGACTGTATCATGCATAAATAATTAACTTATGTCCCATCCTTGACACAATGCCCATTACTTTTATAACTAAATCTAATGATTGTTTAATTTTATGAGAACAAGGATACTAACAACTATTACTACTGATACTGTTCAAATGTTTTTCAATTCATATTTTATTATTATTTGTATTCAAACATTTTATTCAAAACGGGCAGTGAAGACATGTATAATGTTACAGAAAAAAATTTATTTCAAATAAACTATAAATTCTATTCAACATTTTATTCATCAAAATTTTAGACACACAACTGTTTTCGACATTGATAATAATAAGAAATGTTTCTTGAGCAACAATTAGAGTATGACAATGATTTCTGTAAGATCATGTGAACCTGAAGACTGGAATAATGGCTAATTAAGCTTTGCCATCACATGAATAAACAGAGCTGGGTAGTAACTGATTACATGTAATCTGGATTACGTAATCAGATTCCAAAAATTAAGTACTTGTAATTAGATTAAATTACATTTGAAAATACTCATAATATAATCAGACTACAGTTCCTTTTTTATGGATCACATGATAACATATTATTTATACTATATCAATAAATTATTCAAAATGTATTGATTCTTCCTAATTCCTCTTTTTCATCTATTAAATGTTCCTTTCTAAAATAGCCTACCGCTTATACATTGAGAAAGTCTTCCAGTTTTGTGAACATTCACACAAAGTCTAGTTAGGTGAGTACAGCATTTAACCACTGGATTTACAAAAAATCACTTCAGGTCTAAGTGTTTCAACATTGCATCAACTACTGATGAACGCAATTTTTATTTAAATGATCACTCTGTAGGTTATTTAACCATGTATTTCTGTGTCTTTGGAAGGCTTTTGTCTTTCAAACCCATTAAAATGCACAAATTCACAAACTTTTTTGTCATCTGATCCTCTTTCACCTAATATATTTACTTGAAGTAAATTATTTTTTTAATAATTAAGTATCACATTTGCATGTTCATGGTTCTCTGACATTGGTTATGGTCACACGACATGCAGGTAAACAAATAAAATATTTAATTTTCTTACTATTTTTTTTATTGATTTTAAAATGATTTATTTTGACTTGAAATTTTTATGATTTAATTAATTATTAGCTTTTCATTAAATTCATAAACCACCTGCAGGTCCTTCACAAACCCCAGTTTAGGAAACCATGATGTAATATAATGTTTAATGCGCTTCATGTTGTTGATAACAACAAATGGAATATATTTTCTTACTCTTTGTATTTTTTATATCAATATGGTACAAGATTATCCTATTTAAATCAATGTGAAAAACTAGATAGGTCAAAAGTAATCTAAAAGTAATCTAAAAGTAGTAGGATTATATTACCTAAAATGTTTAATGCAATTTATTACGTTACTAACAAAAATTTTTGTCATGTAATTTGTAATCAGTAACAGAGTACAATTTGTAAGTAATCTACCCAGCTTTGGGAATAAATTATATTTTAAAATGCATTAAAATAGAAGACGATTATTATCAATTGTAATAATATTTCACAGTACTACTGTTTTTACTGTATTTTGGATCAAATAGCAGCAGCCTTGGTGAGTATAACAGACTTATTAAAAAAAAAATCTTACCAATCTCAAACTTTTAAACATAGTATATATCCAAATCTCATAAGAACTTCAGAAGATTATCATTGTCTTTAGGAAGTAATATTTAACTAATTAAATACTGTATTTTTTGTCATGAAGTGTTTTGTTGTTTTGTATGTAGAACTAAGTAAAATAATTTGGAATTCATGCAAAATTTACCATATCTGTACAGAGGGAGGTTATCGGCATTAAAGATTAAACATATACCTATTCTAATGACATTTCACATTTGTATATTTGAACTTCAACCACCCAACCAGGAAAGAAACATTTTAGACATACTTCCTTTGACAAAATATTTATTTAGTTTAAATTAAAATGTTTCAAACATTACATAAAAATCATTATGTAAATGTAGATGCACGTGATTGGACCTTTGTGTTATGTTACTTTGCTGTGAATAAATACTTCCATCAGGTCACTGTAAGGTCAGCAGCAGTTGTTAGTGTTAACTACAGACAGTGAAGAACATACTTTCACATTGAACTGAATCTAGTAATCTAGTATCTAGTATTACATTAGCAGCAGTTGGCAAAAGTCTGTTGGTAGCATCTAATTTCTCTTGACGAAGGACTCGTACAGGGAGGTGAACAGTTATCAAGTAGTATGTTTAATGTTGTGTTTAATTTAGGACACAGTTTTCAGTGCCTACTCAAAAAAAAAAGGTTGTTTAATTTCTTTTTTTCTTATCAGGAATTAGTTTGTTTTGCTAATATGGATGTGTCTCACATATATCTTTCAAGAAAAAACACAATTCTGCTAATAAATAATATTTTATTCATCATTAAAATAAATGTGGAATCTGTAAACTTACAAACAAGAATATAAGATGTGAACATGTATCACATTTTTCTCAAAAAATAATACTTTTTTTTTTTTTTTTACTAAATAAATATCCACCTTTACACAGAAAAAAAAGAGAATTTGCAAATGTAAAGGACATGGCATACTGTAATTAATGAGACATTATCAAATGTTTTACTTTTTTGCTTTAGTGTAGGGCATGGTAGGATGAATAAATGGAGGAAAACAGAGATCAAATATGTCTAACTTTGAAGTTCATGGGTAGTTCTGTTAGTGACAAAAGAAGTCTTTGAAGCATCTAAATTCTCTTGGCGAAGGACTCGTACAGGGAGGTGAGCTGGGCCTGCAGGTCCTGTGCGTAGGGGTCCAGCTTTTCCTTCAGGTCTTCAGCGTAGGGTGTGAGACTCTGCTGGACCATCTGGGCTCTCTCTCTGATCTGGGCCTGAAGATCCTCAGCCAGAGGGGTCACGGTCTTCTGGAACTCCTGCAGACGCTGGTCCACTTTCTCCTTGATCTCAGCAGTGTAGGGCTCCAGCTGAGCCTGCAGCTCCTTCACGCTCTGCTCCAGGTTTCCTCTCAGCTCCTCGCTCTTCTGGAGCAGAGTGGCCTTCAGGGTCTCAGAATCCAGGGAGTCAGCATATGGACCCATGGCCGTCCTGAGCTGCTCCACTCTCTCCTGGATCTGGCTCTTGAGGTTGTCAGCATAGGGCTCCAGTTTGTCTCTCACACTGATCAGGTCCTGGCCCAGACGCTCTCTCAACACTTCAGTCTCCTTGGTGATTTTGGTCATCAGCTCTTCAGTCAGAGGATCCATCTGTTTCTTGAGGGTGACGGCATATTCGCTGGCCATATCGGCACTCTGGGTCAGTCTGGCACTGTGATGTGAAGAAGAACATTTGAGTTTCTTCTCAGGGAGCAAGAAATACTCTAAATTACAGTATCCTGCAAGTAAATGTTCTTGACTTACTTGACTTCCTGTCCCAGCTGGGAAGACCTGATCATCTTGACGGTTTCCTCTGCGGTTTGTGTTGCCTTCGCAACATAGCTCCAGAAACAAAATATTTATTTAGTTTAAATTAAAATGTTTCAAACATTACATAAAAATCATTATGTAAATGTAGATGCACGTGATTGGACCTTTGTGTTATGTTACTTTGCTGTGAATAAATACTTCCATCAGGTCACTGTAAGGTCAGCAGCAGTTGTTAGTGTTAACTACAGACAGTGAAGAACATACTTTCACATTGAACTGAATCTAGTAATCTAGTATCTAGTATTACATTAGCAGCAGTTGGCAAAAGTCTGTTGGTAGCATCTAATTTCTCTTGACGAAGGACTCGTACAGGGAGGTGAGCTGGGCCTGCAGGTCCTGTGCGTAGGGGTCCAGCTTTTCCTTCAGGTCTTCAGCGTAGGGTGTGAGACTCTGCTGGACCATCTGGGCTCTCTCTCTAATCTGGGCCTGGAGGTCCTCAGTCAGGGGGGTCACGGTCTTCTGGAACTCCTGCAGATGTTGATCCACTTTCTCCTTGATCTCAGCAGTGTAGGCCTCCAGCTGAGCCTGCAGCTCCTTCACGCTCTGCTCCAGGTTTCCTCTCAGCTCCTCGCTCTTCTGGAGCAGAGTGGCCTTCAGGGTCTCAGAATCCAGGGAGTCAGCATATGGACCCATGGCCGTCCTGAGCTGCTCCACTCTCTCCTGGATCTGGCTCTTGAGGTTGTCAGCATAGGGCTCCAGTTTGTCTCTCACACTGATCAGGTCCTGGCCCAGACGCTCTCTCAACACTTCAGTCTCCTTGGTGATTTTGGTCATCAGCTCTTCAGTCAGAGGATCCATCTGTTTCTTGAGGGTGACGGCATATTCGCTGGCCATATCGGCACTCTGGGTCAGTCTGGCACTGTGATGTGAAGAAGAACATTTGAGTTTCTTCTCAGGGAGCAAGAAATACTCTAAATTACAGTATCCTGCAAGTAAATGTTCTTGACTTACTTGACTTCCTGTCCCAGCTGGGAAGACCTGATCATCTTGACGGTTTCCTCTGCGGTTTGTGTTGCCTTCGCAACATAGCTCCAGAAAGCATCGGTCAGCTGCTCCAGCTGTGGCTTGGGCTCATCAGAATAGAAGAGGTTGGCCTGGCAACCTGTTGATAGAACAAAGCAGGTCAATACCAATTGTTAATTTGAATATGAATTTATCCAGCCAATAACATATTTAATAAGACATTTGTATATCATAATTTTCTCAGAGAATATTACCTGTAAATACAGCAAGTGCGAACACCACAAGAACCTTCATGGTTTTTACTTTGAGTCTGTAAGTAAAATAAATTTTTCATCAACATATCTGGTTTTCATTTGGAAATCATGATTCATGAATTCATGATGAAAAGTAAGGCTGTTTTCTTACCTGTGTCAGTGTGTTTTATTTGACGCTGTCCTGTCTGAAGAACAAGTGTGAAGGTGGCTGTTTCACATCTGTATTTATATCGCATGGGGAGGTGGTTGTCGTTATGGAAACCCAAAGTCCAGTGGGTAGTGCCTTGCTGTCACTACTCCACATCACAACGTCCTGACTGTACCTATTATCACTAAAGATTCCTGAATTCAATACGGACTGATAACTCTTGGACAATAAACTGTACAACTACATTCCAATATAAATATTGTTTTAGATAAACGCTTAAGACTATTTAGTAAATTCTCTAAGTAAAAGAATTGTCTTCAGTGTGATAGAAATAAATAAGTGATAGTCTGTCCTAAAGTGTTTCTGTAGACTCATAATCATCGGAGTGTTTTAAATAATAACAGGGGATTCAAGACCAGCCAATCTCCTTTTAACTTTTATTATTAAGACATTTTGAATACTGCCCTTTATGAAATTGTCGATCTGAGGTACTTGATCTATGAAACCAGACACTGATTTTGAACCTTTAAACTAATAACAGTAACAAATGACACCAGACTTTGTTCACTTCCTGATAAGATTTGACACATCACTCAAAGATATATGTGTTTTTGATCCTAAATGAATCTATGAGCTCTATAAATTCACTCTAAGAAGTCTGATATATCCTACCCTTATATCTTAAAAGTTTGCAGTAGGTCTTTTCAGATTCTTTTTTTAACTAACCTGTCCAGTGTTAAAAATTGACCTCAAGTGATTCTTAAAAGGAATTATCATCACAGTCAGGGATCATGCACGCAACACTCGGTCCAGGTTACACATGTCTGCTAAACCCCTAGAGATAAGGGCAGCTGCTTGACCTGGAACCAAACTTCTGCTGCTGATGGATGTCTGACCTTCATAACATTTAAAAAAAATGCTTTTATTAAAGAACTTACATTTTTTTAGGTAAAAGGGAGCACAAATGTAGTGATACACTTCATTTTCATGGTGAAAAGACCTTATATCAGTCTGATGTGGAACAGAATAAGGAGTTGATTTCAGAAATTGTGTTTGTTCACTAAAACAAATATTATAAATAAAGTTCACTAAAACAAATATGATAAGTAAAGTAAGCCATAATACTTGTAAACTCAGAAGACAAAAATTCTATATAGATATAGACTATAAGTTGAATATGTTTAATTTACCATTGACACTGACTCTAACATTAAAATGTTGTATGTTTTTCCATTATTAATTAGTTTTCACCAATGATTTGCTGAGATGCGCAAATCAGCAGTTCATCTTCTAAACCAATTGTTCTCAGTCTTTTTTGGGACAACACCAAAAAACGTGACCTAGGCCTATAACCAAATAACTGGACAGTTGGAATTATATATTTATATTTATATTTATATTTATATTTATATTTATATTTATATTTATATTTATATTTATATTTATATTTATATTTATATTTATATTTATATTTATATTTATATTTATATTTATATTTATATTTATATTTATATTTATATTTATATTTATATTTATATTTATATTTATTTAATGAATTTATATTAATGTAATATTTAAAATTTGTTGATCCTCAGCATGGTTGAGAATCGTGTGCTGAGGTACTGTATTTGTGCATCTCATTGCAACTTGTTTAGTACATTTGTCTATCAGCATAAATGTTTGCTTTTAGTTTTAAGAGGCAAATACTACCCATATTATGTAGAAGGTTTTGAAAATAAACATAAATCTAAAAGAAAGAGGATTGTTAAAAAAGATTAGCATTGCTAAATGCTACAAATATTATAACACTCAGTAGACTGACTTTTATTCATTAGATGAACTAAAGTTGTTAAGTTGTTAGTTGCTAGTTGAGTTAACTTAACAAGTTGAGTGCGATAGGTTGCCTTGTTTTTTTGAGTTGAACTTCTTTTTTTTACAGTAAAAGATTAAAAGCTATTATTTAGTTGCAGATCCCTTTCGTGCAATCACAGCAGTGAGTCTGCAACCCATAAACATCACCTGACTCTTGGTCTCATCCTTTGAAATGCTTTTCCCAGCCTTTAATGCAGCCATTTCCAACTGTTGCTTGTTTTGGGGAGTTTCTGCCTTTAGTCTTCTCTTCAGCTGGTGAAATTCATGTTCAGTCGGATTTAAATCTGGAGATTGATTTGGGAAATCTAAGACTTTCCATTTCTTTGCCCTGATGAACTCCTTGACTGAACTGGCAGGGTGTTTTGGGTCATTGTCCTGATGCGATATGAAGCACTTTCTGATGAGTCTGGTGGCATTTTCTTGAATATTGGTAGCCAAGATGGTTTTATACACTTCCGAATTCATTCTGCTACTGTCATCATACATTAAGTCATCATTAAAATTGAAAGGGCCTGTTCCAGAGACATGTCCATACCATGACACCACCTCCACCATGCTTTACAGATGAGGCTGTATGCTTAGGATCATTTGCAGTTCCCTTTTTTTCTCCACACTTTTGCTTTCCCGTCACTTAGATAAAGGTTCGTCTTTGTCTCATCTGTTCATAAAACTCAGTTCCAAAAATCTACTGGCTCACCTTTGTGCTTTTTTGCAAACTCTAATCTTGCCTTTCTATTTTTGGTGCTGGTCAGAGGTTTGCATCTTGCTGTGTAGCCTCTGTAGTTCTGTGTCAAAGTCTCCTCCGGACAATGGATTGTCAGAGCATCACCTCAGCTTTCTGGAGTTTGTTGGTGATTTTACAGACACGTATTTTAGGGTTCATTTTCACAGCTTTTATGATTTGTCTGTCATCAACTATACTATTGTTTTTCTCAGCCGATCAGGTCGTTGTTGGTTGCTGATGTGTTCCAAACTCTTGATTTCTCCATGCCCTTTGATTTTGTTATAGCTCTAATTGACTTCCTCCTTTCTTTTAGCATCCAAATTGCTTGCTTTTCTCACTAAGTCAGCTCCCTCGTCTTCATCCTGGTTTGTGTGTGTCGTCATCGAATGCAAGACTCAGAAAGCAGAAGCAATGGATATAACTGATACGACATATTCCCTGCTTGTAATATCTGAAGAAGTAATGCAACAGGACACAGCTGATTACTTAGAAAGACCTGTGAGGCAACTGTTCCAATACTTATGCTCACATCAGATAGGGGGATGACACTCTAAAATTGCCGATCTTCTTAGCTAGTAAAACATGTGTGTGTTGAAGCACCCAATAATAAAATGTGACATTCTTTAGTTTTGTCCCATATTCATCTTTTAATCATATTTACAGATTTCTTGACTCCACAGCAAACAGAGCAATTTTGTCTTTACTGTCCCAATACTTATGGAGGGCACTGTATATATATATTTGTATTGTGTTTTTGTTTTGTTTTGTGATAGTTGTTCATGAGTCCCTTGCTTGTCCTGACCAGTTAAACTGTTTTTCCTTCTGGAGCATCAGTGACCATTTGAACCTTTTGTAATAGCTTACTGAGGAGTCATGAACGACAATGTGTATCCTTCCCTCGCATTCTAAGTCTACATATACGCACAAATGCACAATTTTTGTGCATAAATAACAACGGAAGTCCAACCGTTTCACCGTTGGTATCAGTCTACTTGCGGTATATATCTCACAGCAAGTGTCATGGCAGATGCCCAAATCCACCATAATTTTATAAATAATACTGTTTTTGCGTCACATAATGTAGTTAAAAAAATTTATTTATTTTTTTTTAGGGGAGAATGTACTTTTTTAGACTTCAAATATGCGGTTTGTTCATACAGATAACGTCTATTTGAAAATTTCAAAAGAAATGCTGTCTTGTTGCCAAAAAAAAAAAAAAACATAAAAACATGTATATCTGTCTTTCACTGTATTGCATTATGGTTGCATTTTCAAGGGTCTCTAATGGTAATGAAATAAGTGTTTAAAAACAGTAAAGTGCTCCATGCTGTTGAAACAAAGTGTTTCTGTCACAATCCCCGGTGCGTTCCAAACGGAATATATTGCCCTCCGAAGGGCACTACGGAGTGAAAACAATCATGGCCGCCATATTGAATGGTCGTTCCAAACCGAAATGCTCAAAACTGACCACTTCAAAGGGCCCTTCGGAATGAAGGATTTCGAAGGGTACAACTGATGGACACTTTGGGCCCCCATGATCCTTTGTGCTGGTTCTTTCCATGATGATGGCGCCTCCATGTGGGCACGGGATGATGACACAGAAGGGCACTTCAAGAAACAGTTGATACCATTTGCTGGTCTCTCACCTACTTGCATCACTTATTCCATTGACTCACCTTTGAATAAATTCCTGTTTGTTGAAGTGACCCTTGTGTTGTCTTATTCAGCTCATGTGACTGTAGGAGTAGAGCTATATTTTCATCAGATGCTGGATCTCCCTGGGTCTATCAAAGATTTATACACACATTGGTTGAAAACGTAATTTTGTCCTCTAATTTTTTCCTCAAAATTTTAATACGTCTGTATTGCAGGTGGTATTTCACTGTTAGGTTAAGGAGGTTCTGGCTCAGTGTTTTGGAAAATGTATAACAAACATTTTACATTTGAGAATATAAGTATTAAAATTGTGAATCTTATTACCTTACATGTTTTATACACTAGGTTACATCAGATTGCCAATGTAGCCCTAATATACAAATTTCTAACATGCAAATGATCAAGATATAATACTGTATCTTTTCATGGAAACAATGATAGTGTATTATTTATCAGACTTCAAATATGTCTTTTGGAGCTAACTGGTCAGTGGCAGACCACTTGGGCTTGGATCAATTGGCTGACAGTCCTATAAATACTGCGAGTGAGGAGTGAGACCTTCATCGAACAGGTTCAATCAGCAGTCATGAAGTCTTTGATGTTCCTGGTGCACCTTGGAGCCGCCTGTGAGTAGAGACTCCATTCACTGATTTACTGCAATTATGAATTTCACTCAGCTCATTTTACAGGTGATTATAGTCAATATACTGACAATAATCACTCATTTGTGTAGTTGCTCTGGTGATTGACAAAATTTTTGGTGGATATGA